ATTATTTACCGTTCATGGGGAAACTAAGCAGTCTTGGGCCTTTTCCAGTTTATATCACAGAAGCACAATTCAAACTAGCTTGAGCAAATAGGGATTATAATGATTATTGTGACTGTAAACAAAATTCTAGATAGAGGCTCTTTGAAGTACAGCTTGCTTCGGAGCCTTGATTAATGTCAGGGCCTTAACAACTTCTCCTCTCAGCTCTGCAATCCTTTCTTTATTGACTTTATTTTCACAGAGGATTTTCCATGGGACCCAAAGAGTAAATGCTGGCAGCCCTAAACCAATATCTTCCATACAGCTTAGGGTTTCAGAAGACAGACCTTTTTTTTTCTTGAGAGCAAATGGATTGATAGGCCTGGATCATCAGCATATTTGGGGGGCTGGAAATGCAGAGCTGGTTCTACTTTAATTGTGTGGACCGTAGGGATGAGTAGTAAGCATGCTGAGACAGGGCAAGGGAGTTAAGGTGGAGATTTGAACAGAGCACGTGTGCAATCTGTGACAATATCTTGGCACTGTATTTTCCAGACCCCTTGCTTCCCCTGATGGTGGAAGTTCCTGAGAATCTCACGAGCAGAGGAATCCTTAAAAGACTGAGTATGCATGTGGAAAGTAAGAAATACCAAGACTGGCCATGCAGGCCGGGACAGGTTTCTTCCGCCTTGTTAAGTGTCATCGAGTAGTCTCTGACCCGTGGTGACCCTGTGCACAACAGAACTAACCACTGCCTGGCCCTGCACCGTCCTCACAGTTGTTCCTGTGCTTGAGCCCATTGAGGCAGCCACTGTGTCCGTCCATTTTGTCCAGCCCCGTCCTCTGTTTCCGCTGCCTCCCTGCTTTACCACACATGCTGCCCTTCTCCAGGGACTGGTCTCTGCTGACAACACGTCCACAGTATGTATGACCAAGTCTTGCCATCCTTGCCTCTAAGGAACATTCTGGTTGTATTTCTTCCAAGACAGAGTTGTTTGTCCTTTTGGCAGTCCATGGTACTTTGCATGTTCTTCTCTGGCACCATAATTCAAACATATCAATTCTTGTTCTGTGTTCCTTATAACAATCCATACATCAATTATATCAATCACACTTGTGCATATGCTTGCCAGCATCCTTTTCAAAGCATTTTCTTTCTGCTAGGTAGAAAGCCAAGTAGAACCCTTAGTATCAACTCCTCTTTTTTCCTTCCTCCCCCACCCTCCCACCCTCGTGAACCCTTGATAAATTATAAATAGTTGTTATTTTCATATTTTACACCACAGCTATCTCCCTTCCCCCGCGTTTTTGTTGTTTGTCCCCCTGAGGAAGGAGTGTGTGTGTTATAAGTTGATCATTGCAATCGGTTCCCCCTTTCTCCTCCCACCTTCCCCCTACCCTCATGGTATTGCTACTCGCATTACTATTCCTGAGGGGTTTATGTGTCCTGGATTCTGTGTGTCAAGAGCTCTTCTGTAACCAGTGTACATGCCCTGGTCTAGCTGGATTCGTAAGGTAGAAGTGGGTCGTAATGGGGTGGAGGAGCATTAAAGAACTAGAGGCATGTGTGTTTTGTTGGTGCTATACTGCACCCTGGCTTGCTCGTCCCTTCCTTGTGACCCTTCTCTGAAGGGATATCCAGTTGTCTACAGATAGACTTTGGGTCTCCCCTCTGACCCTCCTCGTCTGCATCAATATGATGGCTTGTTTTGGGTCTTCTGATGCCTGATATCTGATCCTGTCAACACATCGTGATCATAGAGGCTGTGTGCTTCTTCCGTGTGGGCTTTGTGTGTATGACAGCCTTGCCATCCTTGCCTCTAAGGAACATTCTGGTTGTATTTCTTCCAAGACAGATTTGTTTGTGTTTGTTGCTTCCCTGCTAGATGGCTGCTTGTTTAACTTCAAATATTTAAGACCCCAGACAGGGTATCTTCTAATAACTGGACACCATCAGCTTTCTTCACCAAATTGCTTCTGCACCTATTTTGTCTTCAGCGATTGTGTTGGGCCACAATCACAGAATGCCAGCTTATTAGAACAAAGAGTTCTTGCATTGAGGGAGGACTTGAGTAGAGGTCCAATGTCCATCTGCTACCTTTATACATAGCATATAAATATATTTACATAGACCAAATCCCTATCATTATATATATATATATATGTATAAATATAGGCATGTATATATATATATGTGTATATATATATGTATGTATATATATATATATATATACATGCCTATATTTAAACCTCCTTAAATGTCTTTCGCCTCCTAATTCTTTCTTCTATTTCCTTTCACTTTCCTCCTGTCCCACTATCATGTTTGACCTTCATTCGGCTCTTTGTACTTCCTCTTGGCTACATTGCACTTGATTAAATCCCACCAGGCAGTCTACATCCTCCTCACCATCAATGTTAGATCTCTTGTTGTTCCCTTGTCCCTGTGTTTATTTTTTTAATTTAAAAAATAATTTTAAACATAAAAAAAATCATTTGATTAGGGCTCATACAACTCATCACAATCCATACATGCGTCAATTGTGTAAAGCACACGTATACATTCGTTGCCCTCATCATTCTCAAAACACTCACTTTCCGACTTTTTTTTTTTAAGAGAAGGGAAAGAGAAAAGTTTATAAATAATTCCAGGCCTGTCTCCTGACCTTTATGAATGTTTTCCAATTGGGTCTGATGAGGTGCCAGGCCCTGCCCCCTGAGTCAGAAGGCTGTTTTCGGGAATCTTCTCTTTCTGTTGTGCTCCCTTGGTGTCATGTCTGACTTTCACATGCACATGAGCCAGTTGAAAACACCACGGCTTGGGTCAGGTGTGCCTTAGTCTTCAAAGTAACACCTTTGCTTTTCACCACTCCCAAGAGGTCTAGTGCAGCAGATTTACCCAACGCAATGCTTTGTTTGATCTCTTGACTGCTGCGTTCATGAGCACCGATTGTGGATCCAAGCAAGACAAAGTCCTGGGCAACTTTGGTCATTTCCATCTTTATCATTATAGTACCTATTGGTCCAGTCGTGAGGATTTGGGCTCTCTTTGCATTGAGTCGTAATCCATACTGATGGATGCAGTCCTTGATCTTCATCAGCAAGCGCTCATGTTTTTCAGCAAGGAAAGTTGTGTCTTCTGCGTTTTGCTGGTTGTTAATAAGCCTTCCTCCAATCTGATGCCACATTCTTTTTCATATCAGCCAGCTTCTCTATTATTTGCTGAGCATGCAGATTGAATGATTATGGTGAGAGGATACAACCCTGATGTACACCTTTGCTGACTTTAAACCATGCAATGTCCCCTTGCTCTGTTCATGCAACTGCCTCTTGATTTATGTACAGGTTCTGCATGAGCACAATGAAATGTTCTTCCCATTGGGAATTCCCATTTTTCTCAAGGGCATCTATAGTTTGATATAATCCACACAGTAAGATACCTTGGCATAATCAATGAAACACAAGTAAATATCTTTCAGGTATTTTCTACTTTGAACCAAGATCTATTGACATCAGCAATGATATTTCTTCTTCCACCTTCTCTTCTGAATCCATCCTGAACCTCTGGCAGCTGCCTGTCAATGTACTGCTTCAACTGTTGTTGGATGATTTTCAGCACAATTTTACTTGGATGTGATAGTAATGATATTGTTCTATTTATGATAGCTCTTGGGTTACCTTTCTTTGGGATGGTCACAAATAGAGATCTCTTCCAGTGAACTGGCCAAGTAGCTGTCCTCCAAATCTCCTGGCATAGACTAATAAGTGCTTCCAATGCTTCTTCAACTTTTAGAAATATTTCATTGGTATTTTGTCCATTTCTGGAGCCCTGTTTTTGGCTAAGAAGGACCAGCTGATCACTTCAGAAGAAGTAACTACTGAAAACCATATGCATAGCATGGAAACACTGTCTTCCTCCTTAGGAATTCTTAATAGAATTCTCTTGTGATGACTCATGTCTTCCAAAATGAAATCTTCTTCTTGGAAAGACAAGAACCTGAATTCCAGTAACGCTTGTCAATATCTATCTATC